AAAATGATATTGACGAATTATTGAGTCGACTTAACGTTAAATCCATTGAATCAAATCGAGATAAGTTAATGAAGAATTTAGGTATCACTAAGAAAAAAGTAACATTGATGAGAAGCAAAGAAATAAAAGATAAAACGTGTCTTTCATTAGTAAAAGATTTACACAAGAAATTAGCTAAAATTCTCATATCTGGTTGGTCTATAAGGTCTATTAAACGATTAATAGAATGCATTGATTCCTAAGAGAAATTAGAATGTTTAGTAGGCGCTCTTGATCCAATTTATGAATGTGATCTAGAAGAATACGATAACAATATACAAGAAAAGAATTTGTCTGATATTCTAAAATCAACTTCTTGCAAAAAGTGAACAAAAGAAATACACGACTTGGCTATTTTTCAAACTTTTAAAGGTAGCTACGATAAAGATTTAGAAATTTTGAAAACGGATCTATATAAATTAAATAAAGATAATGGAATATCATTTTTATGTGATGAGAAATTAATCGCTGATTATCAAAAGATGAAACATGCTTATGCGAATAAGTCTAAACTCTTCGATGATTTTGACATTATTAAATATTGGAAATCATCTGAAATACAAGAGTGGACTGAAAATGTGATATTGCTATAGTTGATGAAATCGATTCTATGCTTATTGATGGTAAAAATCATATTGTTATACTGTCTTCTCCTATGCCGACAATAGATAATTTAGAACCCTTTTGGCAGCCATATGAGTACAGATAGAAGAAGTGGCTAAGTGTATTCTAGAAGTTGACGGTAAAAAATTTTGTATAGAGTAATCAGATATGCTTGATGACAATGGTAAATTAAAATCTTATTGAAGAAACTAAAGATTTTATTAAAAATTGCACAGAAAAGTATATAAAATAATTATTTAGGGATAAAGAAAACTTGTCAGAAACTGAACACGACATTCCGAGTGATTATCCAGAAATGCACATTCTGTCACATTTAAAAGATTTAGTGATTAAGAGTCAGCTACAAAAATAGATTGATAGTGTCATTTATGCTAAATATTGATGTCAATATGAAAAACATAATATAATAAAAAAAAAACGTAGAATTGCTCTGGTTGATGTGACCAATACAGGAATAGTAAAACAAAATATGTATTGGAAACTACGAATTTTATTTCCAATGTTACTTATTTTCAACGGTACGAAATGAATGTTTATGGTTTCACAGGAACTCTTGAAAGTATTAATGCGAAAGAATTATTGAAGAGCATCTATTCGGTAGATTGTGTCATTATTCCAGCTTTTAAACAAAAACAATACAAAGAATTAACTCCAATAATCATTGATAATGAATATTATTGGTATAATAACATAGTAGAAAGTTGCATGAAAAAACTCAACAATGGTAGAGGAGTTTCAGTAATTATGAAATATATAAAAGTAATCTATAAAATAAAAGCTAGCTTGATAATATCCGAATGTGATGAGCCAAAAGTAGGGGTGGACCATTTTATTTAATGGGACTTAATTAATGTGACTAATTAATGGCTTCACTTAATCATTAATATTAATGGTTAATTTTTTTGGTTTAAAAATTTAATTTATTAATCATTAATATTAATAAATTAAGTTTTTAGAGGAAAACATTAACCATTAATATTAATGTTAATGATTTTCATTAACATTAATATTAATGTTAATGTTTCCGTTAATCATTAATATTAATGGTTAATGTTTTCCTATAAAAACTTAATTCATTAATATTAATAGTTAATGAAAAAATCAACATTAATTTAATATTAATGTAAATGGTCCACCCCTAAGTCAAAAGTCAAAGTTTATAAAACAGACGATATATCTAAGGTTATAGAAGAAGAATCGAAGGTGGATGAAATAATAATTGCAACTAATATTGTCAGTAGAGGAACAGATATTAAAGTCGATAAAATTGAAAAAAATGGTGGGTTACATGTATTTGTCACGTTTTTACCATCAAACGAAAGAGTAGAACAGCAAAATGTTGGTGAGACATGGAGAACGGGTAATAAAGGAACTTGTCAATTTATATTATTAGAAAAAAGTGAATATGATTATGACGTATTGAAACGAAATCGGGATAGAACAGAAATAGATGAACTTAGTGCAACTAAAATAGAAATAAAAACAGTGATTATTAAAGATGAAGTATTTGCAGAATTTTGTAAACTACTCAATGCATTTGATGACGAAAAGGATTCCATTAATAATTTTAAAGCTATAGCAGCTAAAGAAAGATTTAGTATTTGGTTAAAAATGCAAGAGAGTGTAGAAAAAACAACAAACAAAGAAAATATATTAATGAACTTTAAAAAGTTTAAAGAATAGATTCCAGTTAATAAAACAAACGATCGATTAATTAAAAATCCACATTTTTATGTATCGATCAGTAATAACCTATTTGAGACGATTTTTAGATAGAAGGAGAGTTACCGCTGATGGAACTATGTTTTATTATATTTCTTCTTATCAAGAATCGCACCATTCACGTACAAAGCACACATTTATATCTGCGACCAAAAGAGAGAAGACAGAAGCAAAGAAGACTTATGAAAGAGAACGGATACAACGATATCGCTACAATCAGAGTCACATAAACAAATAGAAACAGACACAGACAGATGTTAACAAAAAAAAGAACTTAGTCTCATTAATGGATGCGTTGTCTTGCATTTACCTTCTCTTATATGTTCCCAACGTTGCCGTTGACCAAAATGCTTCTTCTTGACCACACAGCCGGTCTCCATATCGACATCCAGTTGCAAAGTGCTCACAATTGTTTGCAAGAACATGATATCCTTCTTTTCCAAGAGAATCGCGAGCACGTTTAACAATTTCATCCGCTGGTAAAATCGGCCATTCTTTATCTTTGAAATTGTTAATTCTTGCTTTACCATCACCCATAAAAACATCGTGAAAAGATTCTTCCGTGATTTTCGCAAAAGCAGTATGTTTTCCCAAAGTTTGAATTGTACGCCCAACTGACATGAAGTTATTTATGAATGAATTACCAAAACTTTCAACTGTCACCTGAATAACTTTGCCATGTCCAATATAGATTACCCAGTGTTCATATCCTCCTCTGTGAAATTGGATCATATCTCCAGGTACTGCATATCTCATCTTGCCATTTATTACATCATACAATAGCATATCGGTGGTATTCCTATAGGTTTCATCTGGTTCTCTGTCATTGAAGTTACCCATAGTCGATTAATTTTCTTCTATAAAAACAAAATGGCAATAAATATTAGAAAATTATTTCTTTATATATCAGTGTGTTTTTGTCTACAGCTATTATTGCTTCTTATTCTTTTTTTGTTTCTCGAAATGATTCCTCACTAGGTACAGTTGCACATGTAAAGAATTACTCTTTCTGGACTTTGAAAAAAAATCTGAAACAAACAGATGAAAAGTAACAGAAGAAAAAGCTACAGAGAGCTTACAATAAGACATTTAGTGTAACGATTTTCTACAAGAGACAATGATATTCTATATCGAATTACTTTATTTCTTTCTTATTTCTATTCTTAATACCAAAAACAACAACACACACTGGGAAAAGCACGCGTTTATGTATCATCTATCGGAGAGAGATAACTCCTGGACAGAAAGAGGAAAGGAGGGAAGTGGATACAAAGCGGAAGGAAGAAATAACACACGAGGTGTTTATGAATATAGACAGATTTTTAAACGTCGCAACAACATTAGTTGCGGTAGTCAATATTATTTGCTTATAACTCAAACAGAGAAAAGAGTAAAAGGTATCAAGCTAAATGATATTGATAATGTAATACAATAATGTAAGAACGAAAGGAACAAAAAGTATCGAGCTAAAAGACATTGACAGTGTGTTACAATAATATGAGAACAAATAGATATTTCATTAATAGGTACAAATGATTCGATTAAACGAATGTCACCTTTAGTAATTGATAAGGAAGCCAAATTTCTTGAGGATGTGTATGCTGTGGAACCCGTCGAACATTACAACCACCATGAACCATCGCGTACGACCGTTTACTTTGACGTATACGGTCGAAAACATCAAGATTACAATCATATACGGGCCGTAAATCACTCGCTTGGTATGCATAGTATTACGGTCGTATGGGTGTGGATCTTCTCTTCAAGAGAATCCGAACCCAAAATTTTTTTTTTGTTTCTCTATCTATCATTATGTATCCGATGGGGATGTGTGAACGATCATGACTATGCTTTAAAATGTTTTTAGTATTCATTTTTTTTCTTATATTGACATATGGAAGGAAAAAAATTGGTCCTTATTCATATTCATACGTATATGTCTTTTAGCGCTTGTTCTTGCCATTTGTTTTCGTTATATAGTCATGCTTGAATGCTCTCAGTATACATGCATTTATCATCTACTCATCTATAAATATATACATAATTACTTTTGTGTTATTGGAAAACTTTTTGATGAGTAAATATAATACAAAAAGACCTATTAATATGAGATAAAAATATGAAAAACGAAAAAAAATCGTGTTTATTTAAACGGATTTTTAATCTTATAAGTGAGAACAAGAAAAAAAACCACATAGAATAACAAATAAATCACCGGAGTGTCTTTAAATATATTAATTGAACATTAATTTTCATATAATAAATCATAATGACCAGGTCGATAAAGCATTGTGATCATTGGTTTGAATGTTTCTTTCATTTCATCATCTGTAACTGTAAAATCATGTATAGTTAATGATGATTGTTGATTTCGATCCATATAAACAATACGTAATGGTACAACAGCTGCTTTAGTTAATGCTATGATATGTATATTATCAGATTCACGTCCCATTGGTTCAACTTCCTTTATAAATAAAAACACATATTTTCGATAAATATAATAATAAGAAAAAAACAAACAAAACATACAGTACTACAAAATTGTTTAACACTTTTTCCATCTTCAATAAAATTTTCAAAAAATTCACGATTCATTTGAAGATAACCTGATGTAAATAATCTATTATATATTGAAAAAGGAAAAAGAAACAACAACATTTCTTTATATTTGAATTTGCAAAAATATAGAAATAATAATTTACCGTAAATAAGCAAC